ATTCTGTGTTTGGAGTTGTTTTCATTTTTATTTTTCACGTTTTTCAAAAAAGAAAAAATAAAAACAGAAGAGAATAATTTTTTAATTTAGTGTAAAATGAGAAAGAAATGAAAAATGATTTTTAGTCGTTTTTCATTTTTTGTTTCTGTTTTTTCCTCTCTCGAGTAGAGAGAGAGCGAAACATTAATGGATTTTTTATATTACAAATAATTTTTTGAAAAAACTATCAAATGTATTTTCAAAAATGATTTTTGTCTGAGATTAAAAATGTTTTCATTTCTATTTTCATACAAAAAAATAAAATCATTTTAAAATCAATTTCAAACACACCTATTATTTTCTTTTTTTTTTCTTATTCTATTTTTAATTGGTCGTTTACTTCATTTCAAGTTTGTCAATTTGTAATGGACGACTTGATCACAAACATAACCGTGGCGTGGTCTTTGCTTTGGTGTTTGTTGATGTGATTTTTTGGACCCTTTCCTTGATATAATCTATAATGTCGATATATATATATATATTTATATATTCTGGAGTTCTATAAATGTTGGGTTCTTATTCTCTTTTTATTTTTTAAGAGCGGAAAAATCTAAATAAAGAATACAAAAGAAAAGGAATTCAGTGTGTTCCACATATGTAGATGAGTATAAAATAAAAATCCTGTCGTTGAATTGATATATCAATACTCACGCCTCATCTAATAGTCAACTTTGTTTTTGTGTCATTTACACTACGTTTGTTCCTTAAGATTAATTCTTAAAATTTGTACAAAATAACACAACTTTTTGAGGAATTTTTTTGCTGGCTTAAAATATTTCAAGAGAATTATCTAGATTTAAGGAAGTAGTAAGACATAGAAAGATAAAATTATACGACTGATAATGATATGTAATCAACGGCTTTTTTTCGATTTTAGGAAATGTCTTGAATTATTTTCCAAATAGGAAAAAGAAGGAAATATATTTTCTCAAAAGGAGAAATACTTTTTTTTTTTTTCCGGGTGGGGGGCGTAAATATAGGAGTGAAATTTTAAGCAATGATTTTTGGACTCGTTAACAATGGTTTTCTTTTTTTTGTCAACGATGGTTGATACACGTGTATATATATACAAAGCTATAATTTAATATATAATACACTTGAAAACGACATATATATTTTTTTAAACGAAAAAAGGTTGAAAATAACATGCACAAGCAATAATAACCATTACCAAAGGAGGATGACTCAGAATTTTCAGAACGGGGATGAACAGTCAACTAGTAAACGATGTGATAGGACATTAGTGGGAGGCGGCTGAGTTTAGGCTAAATGCATTAAATAGCATTTTCTGAATATAGTTTTGAAGTAAATAACTTATTTTTTAAAACTTGATAAATTATAGCATATTTTGATTTTTTATTTCTGGTTTTCTAAATATGTCTATCCTTTTAGGCTTTTCATCACATGTTTTTCTCTCTCCTAATTTCTCTCTTTCTCCATGACCTCTCTCTCACCTCCAGACATCTTTCTCTCAATTTCTCTCTCTCTTTGAAGATAACTCGCCACCGCTGTCGCTTAAGATAAAAAATCGTGATCTTTCCAGTTCTCTCTCTTCCCTCATTGCCGTCGTCGACAATCTATGGCGAAAAAATGGAGATCAAAGTGAGATCACGATTTCCTTACTTCTCTCATCTTCGTCTGTCAGCTCTTTCCCACCGACATTGCAACGCTAATCTTACGAGGACGACGTTCTCACGAACGGCGAGCTCCAGCAACGGCAGTGGTTGTCACCTCATTCCTGGTGCTCGCGAACAAGATTCCGTTAATAGGCCGTCATGACTTCCTGGCGAGGGATCTCGCGCCGCCAAATGCGTCCCGAACCAGTCCGGCCGACGTCGATTCCATGGAGCAAATCCTGGCCAATGATTTCTGTTTTTTGTCTCTTTTTCTTCTATGGGCTTGTCGATTTATGTGCTTTGTGCAGGTTATTTCTGTGGGTTGGCATGGCACGACGGGAACCAAAGAGAAATTCTTAGTTTGATAATGTATTGATGTAGTGTTTTTAGAAAATAAGTGTAATTGTGGTATTTGGTGATTCTTAGATTTAATTTGTTATGATTTTTTGGTTTTTAGATTTGATTTGTTCTGAGTTTGTGATGATCTAAGATTTAGGTTGATTCTATGTTGTGATTTGGTTTCCAATGACGCTAATTTCTAGATTTCTAGATTTTTGAGTAAATAAGGCTAAATATCATATTTATGAGTTGTTGGTCCTCAATCGTTGATGGTTGAATTATTAGGTAAATACGACATTTACTGATAAATACAGTATTTACCGGTAAATACAGTGTTAAACGATCGCCATAGTGAGTGACAGATTTTCAGATAAATATGATATGTACTAGTAAATACAGTATTTACCAGTAAATACAATGTTAAACGATTGCCGGAGTAGGTGAAATTTTTTGGATAAATATGATATTTACTAGTAAATACGATATTTACCTATAAATACAGTGTTAAACGGTCGCCGAAGTTGGGGGCTGAATTTTCTGATAAATATGATATTTACTAGAAATTACATTATTTACTAGTAAATACGACATTTACTAGTAAATACAGTGTTAAACAGCCGCTGGAGTCCTGAATTTTTAGATATATAGGGTATTACTCGTAAATACAGTGTTAAATGGTCACCGGAGTTGGTGGCCAATTTTTTAAATAAATATGATATTTACTAGTAATTACGAATTTATTGGTAAATACAGTATTTACCGATAATACAGTGTTAAACGGTCACCGGAGTTGGTGGCCGAATTTTCAGGTAAATATGATATTTACTAATAAATACAATATTTATTGGTAAATACGGTATTTACCTATAAATACAACATTAGCGGTCACCGGAGTTGGTAGTTGACTTTTCGGGTATTTACTAGTAAATACGATATTAAATGATAAATACGGTATTTATCGATAAATATAGTGTTAAGCGATCGTCGAAAAATAGTCACCAAAAAATGATCACCGGTCATTAAAAAACAATCGTAGGTTACCATAGTTGATCGCAAAAATTAACTGCCGACTGCGGATCCCAACCATAATAGACTTAACTATAATTTATCTATTTTAAAAAAATATATTATAATTTACTATTTTTAAAAAATAAATATTTAAAGTGAGAAATGAAGTGTAAAAAATTTAAAAATATTTTCTATTTTTAATAATATTTAAAATTTTAAATATTAAATTATATTATAATTTATTATTTTTAAAATATATATTATAATTTATTAATCACCTTATCAATTATGCTATTTCTTTCGTCATCCTAACTTTAATAGGCCGGTAAATGGGCTACATTTGGGCTTCTGTTACTTTCGAATCCGTTTGGTCAACAACCAGTGGCCCCCACCAGATCCCCTTCACCTCCTTCTTGACACTTTTTTTTTTTCCTTTTTCTCTTTATTTACGTCGTCAATTACTAATTTCTTTTTTAATTTAAGAAATTTGCAATTTGGACCTTTTTTTTTTCTTTTTCTGTTTGCCAGCCGCCGGTAGCCAAAAAACTTATAAATCCTAATGGATAGCAGCATAGGCGTGAGTCGTGACCCCGCCAAAGTGGGTCACATATTATTATAATCCACTAAACCAGTTTATAATGCGCCGATATTTTCAAATTCCGTGTCTGATTAACTTACTTTCAACGGCCCAAATCTTGTGTGAATGTTCTCTATCATTCTCTATCGGATTAAGTTGACATTTGGTTTATTTTTTTTAGAATTATGATTCAGAATTATTCTCATTTTATGTATATTTTTTATAAGAAAAAATAATGTAGAAAATTATGAATCATGATTCAGAATCAGAGATGAATATAAGAAACAAACATCTCCTTATTTAGATCATGTGCATTTCACCAATTTAAATTTAGAATTTAAATTTTATTACAATAAAAAAATTCTTAAAAATAATTATATTTATTTTTTTTATTAAAATAAAAAATTATCACTTAAAGTTACATCTCAATCCAAACTAAAAACTCAAATTAATAAATTAAATAAATTTTGAAATAAGGTGTCTGTCCTCCCAATTTATGAAAACAAAAATGTTTTAAAAAATGAAATTAAAATTATGTTTGACTTGGTCTTCATTGGAGCATTAGAATTTAGAAGGACGTGATTTTTGGGTATCGGAAGCGGAAAAAATCTTACTGATATTGTCGCCACTTCACTCTTGGCGGCAAAAGTTTAAAACTTGATGTGTCTCAAAAAAAAAAGAAAAAAATGGTATTGTGGGGGTGATTTTTTTCTTTCTATTTTGAAAAGACATTTGTACGTGTGATTATATTCTTGGTAGACAAACAGAGCTTATCGCAGAAATTGTTTGATAGGCAAGGTTGACACGGTTTTTAATTATTGAGCAAACGACAATATTGTAATTTTCGTTTCCAATAATATTAAAGAAGAAAGATAAAAAGTAGTCATCGTCATCTTCTTCTTCTTTTTTAAAAGAAAGAGTAGCTAAATTCGATTTAACTAATAATATAATTATTTGTTCCATGTAATTTTAAACACGTTTTTAATTCATTTAGTATGAGAGTTTAAATTAAAATGATTTTAATTTTATAATTAGAATCATAATTTATGAATTTAAGTCTAAATTATAATTTTAAAATCATAATCAGATACAAGAATTTGAACCACTCAAAATTAAAAGAGATGATTTTAAAATTAAGAGTGATACTAATTTAAAACATCATATCAGAATTCAAACTTTAAATTAAAACTATTCAAATTAAACACTAATTCTAAATGAGTCAAATCATAATCACTTTTTATTTTTAATGAACAAATACTAATTTAAACCAAAATTATAATTTTAAATTTTAAAACTCTTATATCAAACGTGCTATTTTTTTTTTCTTTTTGCTCATCACTATTAGTCTATTAATAGTGACTTCGGTGGTTGTGCGTTTCTGAGTCGCAAGTTGTTCAAAATAAAAAGAGGCCCCGAGAGAAGACACAATTTTGTTATGTTCTACTATAATTCTTTTCATTTTTTAAACAATACAGATAAAATAAAATATTCATCCCCATTCACTTTTGAACAAAAGGCGTGATCTCCGGTGAATGGCCTTCTCAAAATACCCATCCTCCCCCACGAAAAATGCACCCAACCAATATTAAACACCACTATTTAATAAAAAATAATCCTATAAAGACCCATATTTTATTAAATAGTGATATTCACCATTGATGCTGTATAGCATTACTCCTCCCCTCCCTATCCCATTCTCGTTAACAATTAATTACACGTAATTACACTTATCCAATTAATCCCAAAACTGATATATATAGTACAAGATTTCTCAACAAAACACCAAACAAAATCGCCGTATATATTCTGATAAAATGGGCTGACTCATGCAATTCCGGTACCTTCCGTCCCAGTAACAACCAATCACAGCGTGCCAGGTTGACAGAGGTTGGAACGTGTCCTGTCGTTGGACGTATTAATTTCAGAAAACGACATCCACCAAGTCGAACTCGCTGAACTCGACCTCCTCCAAAGTCTTCCTCGACACCATAATGTCGGGAAGCAAACCCAGCGTTCCGTCAATATCAGAGTCAAACCCGAAAACGTCGTAGTCCAAGAACCCAAACGGCTCAAACGGAGTAGGCTCGTCGAAACGGAGTACCGAAGTCGGCGACGACGCTGCCACGTCGGATAAGTCGGAGCTCGTTTCGGTAACGTCCGCCGTCGTCTCCGTCATAACGGCTTTAGGGAAGTTGGTAACGGCGTTAGCTCCTTTAAGCTTCACCGCCGCTCTGTCGTAGACCGTCGCGGCTTCCTCGGCCGTATCGAAGGTTCCGAGCCAGACCCGCTTTCTCCGATTCGGGTCGCGGATTTCGGCCGCCCACCGCCCCCACGGTCGCCGGCGAACGCCGCGGAACTTTTTCCGGCGAGCCGCGTCGGGCTCCGGCGATTTTAGATGCCTTTTCAGAGCTTTAACTTGCTTCGGCGGCTTGTTTGGGTCGGGAGAAGATTTCTCGAAGTTGATCTCTTTGATGTGCCTCTTCACTACTCTCAGTACAGACGGCTCAGATTCGTCGTCGCTGGATGAGTCGGTGGCGTCGGCGTCGGTGATTATGATCCGGATGAGCTTCTGTTGAGCCCCGGCCATGGGTTTCCTCGTCGTGGTTTTGTGCTCGGAGTACTTGATCTCGCGATCTAAGATTCTCTCGTGGCTTATCATGTTTTGGGACTTAGTAGAGAGATCACAAAGTGAATTTATTGCGGTTTCTACTTTCTCAAGTAACACAGGAAAAAAAAAACAGAGGAAAACAGTTAATTAGCAGTAAGATTAGGATTTATGGAGAAAAAGAAGAAGACAGAGAAGAACAAACTAGAAAAAGGAGAGAATTTTGGTAAGACCTGCAAAGGCTATGTGCAAATTAAGCAGCAAAAGCCTTTGCAGGTTTTGACAGAGAGAGAGATAGAGGGACTGGAGAGTGTGAAGAAGAAGAAGAAAGAAGAAGAGGTTTAAGATTCTAAAAGAAAAGAAAGAGAAAATGAGGAAAAAATGTCATAAAGCAGTGTCTAGGAGGGTTATATATAGTGCACGGACTGAGAGTAAGAGAAAAGGCCAAAAAAAAAGAGGAAAAAAAAAGTGAGAAGAATATATAGGAAATGGGAAATATTAGTGGATTTTGATGATTGTCGTTTATGAGAGCAAATAAGTGCTGATCATGTTTAGTTATAGCTAGCTACTATTGTGAGTCTGCTTGTAAAATTGTGTAATGTAATAGCATGTGTGCACAAGTCATAAGTGACGTATGTATGTATTGGGTTGGGACTTGGGAGTAGTGTTGAAAGCGGGAAAAACACATATGTTGGTGCTTACAGCTGGATTGGTTGACGTGTCAGGAGCCGTGTTCCTCACACGTCAATGTTCTACTCCAAACAATTAACAACCCCACTCCGAACGCCACGCTTGTGCAATCACACACACACACACACACAAAAGGTTAATTTTCATTTTCTTCCAAACCGAAAGTCCGTTGATTTTTCAAACTTTTCTTTTTTTATTTTATTTTATTTTATGCTTTACCTTTTCCCTTTCACAATGAATTTTTGAATTTTTTGTTTTCTATTTTGTAAGACTTGTACACGTAATCCAGACTTCACAGGACGCTGACCTTCCCACCCATGATTTTTTTTTAAAAAAAAAAATATATAAGTCTCATTCATTTCACCGATTTGAGTTTTTAATTTTAAATTTAGACAGTAAAAAATTTTCAAAAAATGTCGCATCTAACTTTTTCTGCTATAGTGAAAAGCTCTCAGAAAATGTCACATCTCAGCTCAAATTGAAAACTCGAATCCGCGAAGTGAACGAGACAATAGTGATGCTGGGCAGGCTTTTTTTTTTTTTTACAATTAATTTTTTTTCTGAATTGATTGTAATTTTATGTTAGAGCATGAAAAATATTTTTTCAATAAAATCCTGTTTTAAACTTTGTATTAAATTTTATCAATTTATTTTCCTTTTAAACTATTTTGACGTGATTAATCAAATACAACGTTTAAAAACATTAGATAAATATAGTAAAAAGAGCTCCTTAACTTTTATATTTAAAGATTAAGAACTCTGTTCCTTCTTAAATTTTTAGGTCATGCATAGAAACTGAGTTAATTATGTTGTTGTCGGTTTTTTTTACACTCCGTTAATTATGTTTGTCGCGTTTAGAATTGTTCTTATTTGTTTTTCACGTTTTTCAAAAAAAAATAAAAATGATTTTAAAATGATGTTTGACACAATTAAATATAAAAAATAAAAATAAAAATGATTTTTTAATATAGGGTAAAATGAGAGAGAAATAAAAAATAATTTTTAGTCATTTTTTATTTTTATTTTTTTATTTTCTCATCATCGAGCAGAGAGAGATATTAATGAGTTTTTTTTAAACTGAAAATAATCTCTTAATAAAACTACCAAACGTATTTTTAAAAATAATTTATAACTGAGATTGAAAACGTTTTTATTTCTATTTTTATATAAAAAATAAAATTATTTTAAAACGAATTTTAAACGCACCTGTTATTTTTGTCCTAATAGCGATAAGGTTTTCCCGTTTTAGGGATAATTAGGAAACTACCCTTTTGTGTGGCATACTTAAAATAAAAAATAAGAAAATAAAAACCTTGGAGCCAATGATAGAGCTTAGTTTCCACGTTTTTGTTTTTTTTTGGGACAAAAGCTAACCACAAAATATTCAGTCTTCAGATAATAGGATCTCATAACAGTAAAAAACGTGATTTTGGCTTTCTTTCTTTTTCTCCATCTTTTTTCTTTACCCACTTTACTGTCGTTTTTTTGTCTCTTTAGATTATGCTTGGGGACACTTTCCTTTTCCCTGTCCGCGTCGGACTTATAACTAGTATAGTCACCGCCAGTGTCGAGTAATAAACTGCGGCCGTGCTACTAATTAATTCGACTCACTCGCTAATAATTCCCAAGTGTCTCGGTTAATTCAAAGAGAAAAAAGATACTTAAATATAACTGTTTGTCACGATCAAACTAATTAAAATTATGATCTAATTTTATAAGAGTTTACAGTGCTCTGAAAAGTTTGGCTTGTTTAAATACATGTTTTTTTACCTTAAAAGTATTTAAGTGAAATGGTAAGAATCAGATTAGAGGCAGAGTCACCCATGAACTAGAATGGACGGCCGCCTCAGTTGAATTTTTTTCCCACTAATCTTATGTATAAAATTTGTTAAAATTTATGCTTTATCATCCATAAAATTCGACAGCTATTTATTTATTTATTTATTTATTTATAACATTTTATTAATTCAGTCACAAGCTCCGTTCTAGATTCATTTTTTTGGCTCCACCTCTGAATCAGATGCTCGAATTTTTTGCTTATGCAAGTCGTATGTACCGGACATATAACATGTAAAACTTACCAAAATGTGACGGCAACTTTACAAAAAGAACTTTGTTCTCAATGAAAAATTCGTATTTAGCATACCAATGTCACTGTGGATGGAGCCTAAAAAGACTACCAAGTGGTGACGCTATATTACTTCTTTAATTGCGGTTAATAATAAGGAAGAAAAATTATAATAAATAAAGAGATGCTCCGAAAGATTTTTTTAGAGAATGAAAAGATAGATTTCGGTGAGAAACGACAATAATATACACATGGGAATGGGTTCAAAATTTCAAATAAAGCCACTTCAAAAGGGCTCAAAAAGTAGCCTAGAGTTGGTTAATGCTTGGGCAAGAAGCAAAGGACTCCCTCGTTAACGTGATCAATGATGTATCAAGTGTTAGCACGAGAGGTCTCAGGACTAGTGCTGGAACTTTGGACGGGCCGCACGCGACCGCCTGAAAAACCCGAGGATTTACCCGAGCCCAAACCCGACCCGCCCGAGATTTTTGGGCAGCCCGTCCGAGCCCGAATTTCACCTTGAATAGGCCGCGGGCTTGTATTCAGCGGCCCGAGCCCGCCCGAATTACCCGAATTTTTTAAACTTTTTTTTAATATTAAGTTATTTATATATATATTAGAATTACAATTTATATATATATATTATATTTATATATATATTAAATTTGAAATGAACACACGAACTATATAAAAAAATTATTTCTTTATTAATTTTTAAATTTGTAATTCATGATTGCCTCATTAAAAACCTTACCAAGAAAAACTCAATTAGGATAAAAACTTGGCAAGAAAAAAAGAGTGCAATCATTTTGTGACGAATTACAAATTGTACAAACTTACATTGTTTATTAAATTACAAATACAATGTAAAAAGTAAATACATATTTACAAATTACAAATTTATAATTTAATTTGAAGCTGAGGGATCGTCTTCAAAATTAAATGTTAATCGATTAAATTCATCGATCCATTCTTGACTTGCCGGTGAAATTGTATCTTGTAGACGTTGATCGGCCCGATCCCAATCCTTAATGCAAACCAAGGATTCAACAATATCCCTTTGCAATGCATTCCGGCGTTCCTCAAGTATTCTTCATGTCGTACTGAAAGCTCGTTCAGATGAAATAGTGGAGACTGGGATCAAAAATATATCCATTGCCAATCGAGTTAGGATTGGCCAAGTTAATGCCCGTGCCCTCCACCATTGAACAAAGTCAAACGATTCTGGCGCACTACCGACTACTAAGCCTTCACTGAGGTACGCCATAAGCTCGTTGAAGCTGCTGCCGCCACTGCCACTTGTTGATGAAGATCCACTTCCACTCACAACTTCCGTTTGAGTTGTCTTCTTCTTCTTCTTTAACCCAAAAACATTCAAGAATGAATGCGGATTTTCATCTTGTT